CCAAAAAGTTCTTCCCACTTTCCCTTTTTGGACAATTTGTGTGGTTCACATTCATTTCACCTTTTTCATGCACAACTACAAGTCTACAACCACACATTTTCACTTTATTCCACTTTCTTAATCTCCGTGCCAAGTCCAAGTGGAAAGAATCTTCTGGGATAGAGGGAGTATATGCTTATACACGTTTGGATAAAATGCCTTAGTCAATGATTTCTCATAAGTTTCTCTATTATCAAATACAATATTTCCCTTGTATATTTCCTACCCTTTAGTTGCTAAAGACTACTTATATTCTTCACCGAATATTAAAGATAGCACAGCTTTACTTGACTATTGCATTAGGAATGAAATAAATTTGATAAATTGCATGACTTAACTATCAGCATCTAACGAATGCAGCCAAATGGGCTTGAATTGGGCACACTACTTTTTCAATTAATGAAATACACTCTCCACTAAGTTCTGGAAAAGAAGCCTCTTTCTTAATTCGGATATAGAAACCTAACATTCTTTAAGAATCAAAATGTTTTTACCAATAAGCTACAAGGGAGAGATAAACGTGATCAAAAGATTGCAATGCTCTTAATTAATCAAATTTTACATTGGAGAAGATTACAATTGGAAAAGAGCATGTTGATAAGGAAAAAAGTGAAAAATCTGGAATAAAATAGTCACAGTAAAATTACTTAGAACTAAAATCAGATAAATGACTACAACACCTACAACATCGCATGGCCTAAAATCAAATGTTATGCTTGTATTGTGGTTATATACTTTTATCTTTTCATCTAAAATACGACCGTCTAACTTAAGGAAATGTGACTATGCATTAGTCTTGTAAATTTGCAAATCTGTTTTCTACTTGTGCATAAAATGAACTAAAATCAAGGACTACCGAACTGTAAATTACTGAAATGCATTGACATTAAACTTACATGTTTAGTGAGAAAAACACTTAACATTAAAGACGTAAGAGTTATTTAGTAAAGAAGCTTCAAGGAAAACGATGCCTAGGAAATATTACTTATTAATATATTTGAACTTTAAAGAAGTAGAATACAATATGTTTATTGTGGACAATATGAAATAACTTTGCAAGAGTATTTGGTAAGCTCCTTTCTCATAGGAGTGGATCTGCTTGATTGAATGCATTCAAATTTCTAGAATTTGTAAGAGTACTATATATCGATGGACTTTTAAATCCAAATGAGGAGTAACAATTGAATTTGATATGAGTAGGTTCAGGTTCATCAAATAAATACAGGACTGCTCTGTTTAACAACAGAGCATATTAAATACTTGAGAAAAGATCTATCTGGCCTATGCTTAAAATGACTTGGTAAATCTGCTTGGCTCTTTTAAAATCATACGCTAAATAAAAAAAAGTTCAAATATTCACCCTTAACATGTTTGGCTGGAACATACCTATCGTCATATCAGTGAGGACCCTATCTATGGTCTCAGCAAGCTGTGGGATATAACAAGGAATGCACATTCCTCTTCGGAGACAGGGTCAGTCATTCTGTTTTGGTTCTGCTGTGAACCACAACTAACATGACTTCACCAATATGGCCCCTGACGTTTTTTTTTTCACACATGAAGTCATCTAACTGGGACATATGTCCTTCAATTACTCGCTAACGACGACCACAAATGTAGCTACACGCTACTCCAAAATCATAAGCTAATCCCAGGTATGCAAATCGCTTCTCCTTGCTTAATTAGTTACTTAACTAAAGGAGCTATCTCATACGTAGTATATCAGTTTACTTACACTCATTATTATTATAAAATGCAGGACATGAACTTTTTCTAAAGCAAATAACAACTATAGAATAGATATTCAAACTGTCTTACCTCTAAAACAATTTTACAAAAGCACATAAATAATCTAGACCTAACTGGTCCACAAACTGATTATAACATATACATCGCTGCAAAAACATTATAGCTAATTGCAGAATGTCGTTATTGAGGTACATAACAATGACTTGTTTTCAATTTTTCACACGCTAGATTAAAGAAGTGTTGATTGTAGTAACATGATAGAATGTGAGGTGGAACAATATCAAGTGTAATGCTAATATCACTATCATTTAGATATAGATGCTTCGATCAGTGTTTAATTGTGGGTATACTTTAACTCTCTGTCTTATATGTCATAATGTATCCCATTCTAAATCTAATTTTTCTTGACACAATTGATTAATATTTTGAAGAAGAATAACGCACAACAATTTGGTTAAGAAGATGTTGGGCATCATTTGCACGTAGTGCGTACTCCCCTGAGGAAGCAAACAACCTGGGAACTTGAATTGGCTAACGCCCCTGAGGCGGCAGAAGCAGCCGAATCGCAGAAGGCAGGGAAGCCAACAGCCTGGGAACTTCTAATTACTATCGGGACTCGCTATATTAAATATTAACAATTAAAAATATCTAAAAAAGTTAAATATCTAGTTTACCCGTCCAACACGGGGGACCATAAATGAACCGGGCAGATTATTCAACCAAAGTTTGCCTTAAGTCATTTTGTATTGATCAAAAGCAAATGCCTCTATAAGGGTCGGACTACAGCAAACATTTAGAAATATGTTAGTATCTATACACTCTTATATGTCAGGGGCATAGTCATTTTGTTTTGAACAGAAGCAAACGCCTCTTGAGGGCCGTACTATAGTAAAAATTCATAAATATGTTAGTATCTATACACTCTTAAATGTCTGGGCCATAGTGCTATATGTGTATGTACCATTTTAAAAACATGCAGATGCTATTTTGTGTTTAAAGCAGTGAGCCTTCCAAAATACATTAGACAAGAAATGCACACGTAATATAGAATGCAGGAATTTACCTTACTCCCAGATGACACACGCCTAGCTCAAAGTGCCAACAATCTCCCCAGCCTAAACAAGGTTTCAAAAAGCATATACAAGGTCAAATTAGGCTCTTACTGCCGAGAAACTGAAAATGATATAAACAGCGGGAAGCATATAAGGCAAGCATAGGATAAAACTATTTTCCACACTTTCTTCAACCATCTTTTTTTTTGTTGGAGCAAACCCAACAAACCACACTAATTTATGGCTTAAGAACATGTTAAGTGCAGTTTCCTAACTGATTCTCCACTTCCGAAAGAAAACCGACACTACGCGAGAGAGACAGCCAGCATGTATTCAAATGTCCATTCCAGGCTTATGTAATACCAAAACAAAAAAATGAGGAGTTTAGTTTCATTTTAAAAAAAAATCCAAATGCAACAAATTGCCTAACTTCATGGGGACATTTAAACAAACACATAGCGGGCATAAATGTAAAGGGGCACCGTCCAAACTTTGCCAGAAACAAAATAATCTGGGGCACCGTCCATAGAATGACAGAGGGGGTTGGGAGGCAATGAAATTGGAATTAAGCAGACACAGACAGAGGTAATGAACACATATGCTGAGAACAGTAACAATAAAGCAATGATACAATGTAAATTGATTGAAAGAGGAAAAACTTACAAGAATCGAAGAAGCAAGAAGCGGAAAATCTGCTGAACAACTGGGAGAGATGATGTATAAGCGACACACTGACCCTTGAGTAAGCAAACGGCTGTGCAGAAGCCATTATTATGGAGGGTAGAACGCTGAGCTTCTGAAACGGAAGAGAGTGACTGAGGGGTTTCATTGTTTTCATCGGTGTAGGGAATAAAAGTAAGATCGAGGCTTACAACGTACAACAAAATAGACCGAATTCACTTATACCTACGGGGGTAAAGGCGTTAAGCCCTTCCGTCCATGCGTTAGGTTACAACGTACAACAAAATAAATATAGAGTACAGGCGGATCATGCACAAAGAACAACCAACATTTTTCTTATGCCCGTTAAATCCCTGACAAAATTCCCCTTTATAAGATTGTAGAGATTTTGTAGAACCGATAAGGAACCGAACCATTCTTAACGGTTCGGTCCTCGTCATTTAACGGTTCCTAGTATTTAAAAAAAATCTTACAAATCACGGTTAAATTTATGTCAAAAATACATTGAACGCTTGAAATTACAATACAAATATGTTGAATTTCATTTCAAACCTCAAAAGTTGAGTTTAAAAGATAAATACATAACAAATTGCAAATTTTAGAAAACAAAAACAAAACAAGATATTCGGTAAAGAAGCCCAACAAAACCAGTTAAATGAAAAATAATTTCAAATAGTTAAATAATTAAACTAAAATAGTGAATGTAATATGAAAATAGATAAGTAGATATACATTAAAATACATATACTAATAAGAAATATATATAATTTTAATTATTATATATAACGGTTCTTTAACGGTTCCACGTACATATTTTTTACAGGAACCGATAACCGAACCGTTAATAAAAAGTAGGAACCGAACCATTAACAAATAACTAATAAATTTTGGAACCGAACCGAACCGGGTCATAACGGTTCGGTCCGGTTCGGTTCTCCGGTTCTTGGTTCCAAAGTCCCAGCCCTACCAAGTACCTCATATAGTCATATAGTCTGTGATTATGATGTTCTTTAAATTTGAGATGCATCAAAATGATTTTGACTCGTCTCAATTTTCAAATAAATCACTAATAAGCAAAACCCTTTAATCCAATGACTCGGGATAGCCAGGGCCGGTCCTGAGAAAATGGAGGCTCTGTGCAATAACAAAATTTGGGTCTTCCTTTCTGACATAAATATTGATCGACAAACAGATGTTCTTAAAACATAGCTGCAGCAATTATAAATTTATTAAATATAAATAGCCTAATTAACTCATCAACTAATTACATTTAATTCTAAATAACAACCAAATTTTTAAATTTCATTATTTCATCAATTCATAATACATTATTACATTAGTAGAGTAGTAGTACTATTACTAAAAATTTTATTTTGGGCCCTCGATTTTTTTGGGCCCTGTGCGGTCGCACACCCTAAACTCCCTCTGGGCCGGGCCCGGGGATAGCATTTGCCTAGTATTGGTCTTTTTCTTGAGAAGGTAAGAAAAAATATATTAGAAGAACAATTTAAGGACTAATCATGAACAGTGGCAACCGAAATAACAGCTGAGATATGCATTAACCACTGTCTATATAAACCACCAAAATCACTTTACACGAGTACAAAACGAGGTTAAGACCCAATTCAGGACTGTACGTAGGGTTGCTCTTTTATGATGAGATTCTATGATAAAGTTACTTCATGACAGAAGATGTAATTACAAAGGAGGAACTCGTTCATTTCAGGGAGCCCAAGATACAGAGTCAAACTCATCTCTAGCTTTCTTGAAGAGTTCGAGCCTTTTGGCGCACTGTTGTCTCCTCTCCATCAATGCTGGATCTTCATCGAGCAGTTTTCCAAGATCCTTTCCCTATAACATTGTTACATAAACCTTTCAGAGTGGCTAGCCATGCGAATGCAACAACAAAATGTGGTGCTAGTAATTTATTCAGGTTGGTCTTCGAACGGGCTTTTAAGTGATGAAAACTGATCATTCTTGGAACTCAGCAAACATCAATGCTTTAGGCATCTCGATATTTGGCAATGTAGTGTATTTGGGAAAGTAATTTCTCTTAAGGTGATAAAAAAAGTGGGTGATGAGCCGATGAGCCCGTAAAACAAATGGTCCATCACCTCATCAGGGAGTTGGTTTTTAACCTGTTTAGCGTACTCAGAAGGCAGACTAAAGACACCGGCTGCACGAATATAATGATATATATGAACCAAAAGTCTTGTCAGGCAGAACCAAAATATTAAATACATTAAAAGATCAAATTAATACTTCTCAAAAAATATATTTTAAGTATTACTTTTCAACTTCTGAAATACTACATTGTGGCCCAGAATATGGTCACACAAAGATAAGATGAATGGGATGGGCCGGATGGAGGTTGAGAGTGAGAGCAAAGTTGAAGAATGTAGGGAAGGATAGGAGTACCTCTTTCCCTCCAATAACCATATAGAAGTGGTTCAGTAAAGACTGTTTGGCCTCCTTCACTTGACAGTGAACCACTGCTTTAGGAATAGTGTTCCTGAGTGTGTCCAACACCATACTAACATAAGATGACACATTTGACCCTATCCTCCTGAAGTGGCCTTCAGTATAATGGTCCACTGTTGTTGTAGCACCAACATTTCCCTCTTTCTCTGCTACTCCATGTGGAAGTTTCCTGAAGAAATCCGCTGTCAGGTAGGCAGCTTCCATGTCAACAAGTCTAACCACTGTCTTCCTACTTTCATCGCGGAACCTTTCCAAGGCTTGATTAGAAGCTGCTGCTATTGCAACTTGTAAACTAGGAAACCGCTTCAACTCCTATTGCATTTGAAGTTAGAAAAGGATAGGAAGTGATAAAAGTTGGAGGATCATAAGTAAACCTGATAAGAAACAGGTCTGTCATCTGTGGTGTATCTCATATCACATAAGTTGTCTACAAGGTTTGAGTCTAGCACATTTGAACTACCATGGACTTTTTGAGGATGCTTGGATCCTTTTGGGGTGAGTTGGCCCGACTTAACATGCATGGTATCAGAATCCGAGCAGGTGTTGTTTTGGGGGACATCTCCACTCGATGATTTGGGACAGTGTTTAGGGGCCAGTTTGGTCCAACTTGTCCATCCCTTCAGTTGTCCACCCCAACTATCTAATGGATCCCAGTACATGTGTGAGTCTAATTTATTATATAAGTCTGACGTAAAACTCTTGAGATCCTTTTGTGGTGAGTTAGAGCCAATTAGTGTCTCACAACCCTTCACTCCTTCAGAGCAGAAAAAAATTACGGAGTACATTGCAAGGAGGAGAGATTACCAGGCATTCCCCAATTGACCTTCTCACAAGTTCCTTCAGGATAAAGTGAACCTGATATATTGTTTATAATATTAGGTAAGCTAAAGATTTAGAAGATACAAAATATACAAAATAAATACATTGTAAATAACTATAAAAAACAGAAAATTGAGTCCAATATATGCGAGTATGCGCAGTTGTGCACTATAAACACTTACAGCATCCACAGAAGCTTCAGCTGGACCTCTAAAGTAATTCAAGAATCCCTCGATTAGCCTTCTATAACCTTGCTCAGGGGAAATCAAGTAAGGTTGATAACCATCTGCCTCCGAAACAACTTTCCTCACATTCTGTACAGATAGATGGCGGTCGAGTGGAAGTTTTCTCAAAGCCGCAGGAAGTTGATGGTCAAAAACTCCATAGATTCTATCACCACCTGATCGGCTGAGTAGATGACAAAATAAATTGCTGGTTAGAAATGGATAAAACAATAGTTGAGGCTATAAAGCTTTGACATTTTCTAGTTGAGGCTATAAAGCTAACAATAGTCTTACATGCTTTTGAACAGTTATTTATGAAAAACATTAAGTAGCAAACTTCCCCACAACACCATATATTTGTAATATATAAAATTTCATCCTTTACGCTTGGCTGGGATTGAAGTGAATCTAGGTTAGGGAAAATTTTAAAAAGATCTATAAAAGGTAAGAGTAGATTTGGTAGAGTGAATGCTATTACTCTGAATGCTTAAAGAATGATATTTCATAATTTGAGTCATTTGACTAGTAGAATACTTGTATGTTGTACATAGCTACATAATTACCCCACCGTAGTTGGGAGCCTTTGCAGCACTGAGGTAATGTTGTTGTTGTATCTTGTTATTGTATAGTAATAATAATAATTATAATAATAAATAAAAGAATGTTGCATACCCTCCATCTAAATGCTCCTTGAATATCTTGTAAAAGGAACGGCATAGCTCCAAGATACTATAGAGTTGAGCCTGTATAAAAGTTTAGTTATTGAAGGAGTAAGAGTGTTAGTTATTAAGAATAACAATTAGAGTCTACATAAATATACATATATAGGGAGGGTTCATATATATATCTATGTGTGTGTAGGTTCAAGTGAGAAAATGATCTTAGGAGAGAAATGAGAATGAATCCAGACAATTGGATTGTATTCTGTGAAATTGAATGTGCATTAAGTGAAACTGAAATATGCATTAGGTGAAATTGAAATGTGCGGCACAAAAGGTAAGGCAGAGTGATATTATGTGAACCTGAATTGTGCATTAAGAGAAACTGAAATGTGCAGAATAAAAAATGCATATTTCAATTTCATTACTGAAATGTGATGCAATGACATTTTTGTGTCTTTTATTCTGCATTTTTCAATTTCATGTAATGCACATTTGAGTTTTACTTTTCATTCTGCACATTTCACTTAATGCACATTTCTGTTTTGCCAAATGCACCATTCAATTTCACATTCCAGATTCATTCTCACTTCTCTTCTGGGAGTCCTTTCTCACTATATATATACACACACACACAGAAATAATCAGGTCCAGCCCCTCCTTTCCGAACTGCCGTTTGAACTCCGCCGTTTGGGGCGGCTCCCGGTAGAATTTTTTGATAAATTTTTTTGAGCATGTTCCCCAACAAGTCTAGTTTATTCACACAAAAAATTCAGCTCAAAATTCGATCAGGAAGGCAGTCAAATAAGTTTTTGAAGTTAACTGTGTTTTCTATGTATCATTTTGCGCAGTTAACTTCAAAAAATTATTTAACTGCCTTCCTGATCGAATTTTGAGCTGAAATTTTTTGTGGATAAACTAGACTTGATGAGGAACATCCTCAAAAAATTTCATCAAAAAAATCCACCAGGAACCGCCCCAAACGTCGGAGTTCGGACAGCGATTCCGCTGGAGGGGATCATTCCTATATATATGTATGTATGTATGTGTGTGTGTATATATATATATAGAGTACTCTTCCGGTCAGGTATACCTGACCGGAGCCCCGTCCGGCCTCCTCCATTTGGGGGCCTTCCCGGTGGTATTTTTTGCTCAAATTTTTTGTGTAGGTTCCTCATCAAGTCTAGTTCATCCATACCAAATTTCAGCCAAAAATTCAATCGGGAAGGTCGTCAAATGATTTTTGCAAGTTAACTGGTCCGGAAAATACATATTCTGGACCAGTTAACTTGCAAAAATCATTTGACGACCTTCCCGATTGAATTTTTGGCTGAAATTTGGTATGGATGAACTAGACTTGATGAGGAACCTACACAAGAAATTTGAGCAAAAAATACCACCGGAAGACCCCCAAATGGAGGAGGCCGGACGGGGGGAGTGGTCCGGCCTGGCCGGACCTGAAGAGTTGTGAGTGTGTGTATATATATATATATATATATATACACACACATATATATATATATATTACCCTATATATAGGGTAATGTCATATAAGGTAGGCCTAAAAGTTACGATCCTTAGGCCTCTTTCATTTGAGGTGCTTCCGAGTTGAAATTTTTTATGAAATTTTGTGAGCATGTTATCCACGAAATGTAGGTTTTGTCCACCAAATTTCATATGAAAATTCAATCGGAAAGTTAGTTGAATAAATTATTGAAAAAAACTGCATTTTAGGCCTAAAAATTGTGCAATTTTCAAAAATTCATTTAACTAACTTCCCGTTTGAATTTTAATCTAAAATTTGATGGACATAATCTACACTTCATGGAGAACATGCTCACCAAATTTTATCAAAAAACTGGACCCGGAAGTAACTCAAATGAAAGAGGTCTAAAATTGTAACTTTTAGGCCTACCTTAAATGAACCTTAAAATTCCTAAAATATACATGTAAATATACTTTTGTGCCAAAATATACATATAAAATACAGTTATTTTCCAATAATCATTAGACTGCCTTCCCGAATGAATTTTAGCTGAAATTTAGTGTGGATAAACTAGACGTGATGAAGAACATTCACAAAAAAATTCAGCAAAAAATACCACCGGGAACCGCCCCAAACGGCCGAGGCCGGACGGGGCTCCTGTCTGGACCGGCTGGACAAGAATAACCCTGTGTGTGTATTGAAGGTGTAAGATTGAGAACATAAAAATGATGATAAAAGAGAAGAAATAAACTGACCCCTGCATCAACAGCAATGGGCCTGCCCAGGTTGTCCAGTTCAGATTCAATTTCATCAATGTTTTTGTTTATTGAAGAAGTAATGCTAGGGATCCTTGCTCTAATTACAGACTCCAAATGCTGGAACCGAATACATACACCCATTTAAGCATTCTATTCCTTATGCAAATACTGAAGATATTTACAACATTTCACCATTCTACGCACCTTTGAGAGAAGCTTAGCTAAGTACTCTGAACCCATTTTACTCACAAGGTGCCCATAGTCAGGACTTGTGGCAAAATATTCTTGTTCCTTTCTCCGTGCAGACATCATATCAACGTTTTTGTTTATATCAGCTTGGGAACGGTTCACAATACCCACCCAAGGATGTTGCAAGCGATAAGCTCTTCCTTCAAGGACCTTAGGTGACAATACAACTTCAATCATGAGAAGAGTGACTAGTTTGGCAATCAATGATGGTAGTGAAAAAATTACAACAGATAGCAGATTCATCTTATGAACCGCAAATGCTCAAAATTCAGAAAGAATCTCTAGAAAATTTTCAGTACTGGGATGTGAGAACACAATCTGATATTCTCTTGAGTACTTGAGTAACCCACATCAAGGTTTGAGTAGTATATAAGTGCGAGGAGCCGAGGACGTGAGGTATAAACCTCACTTCTTGAGGATCCTTTCAGGTAAGTTAGGTCCAATTTAACACATTGGTTCAAATAGCCATCAAATTATCCATGCATGCACCACAAGTCCTTTATAAAGGTGTGCTTGTGTGGGTGGGTAGGGGGGGGCACTCACATCCAAAGCGTTAGTTCCTTTATCCATCAGATCAAGCTTTGTAAGAACCCCAAATGTTCGCTCTCCTGCATAAGATTTTTCTTTAGGAAAAAATGCAGACATATTGCGTGATCAGAATATCACAAGATTCAGAACCAAATGCACCTGAAGGGTCCACTTCTCTTGAAAGTTTTATTGCATCTGAAGTGGCAATATCCTGATTGGCTGGAGATATTGCAAGTATTATGCAGTTTGGCTACAAAGCCACAAGTAGGAACTAGTAATAATTCAGAATGTAAAAAAATGCAGTGTGACCATGTAATTGGACATTGCAAAACAAGATAACAATGGCATGACAATGTAAGTTAAGTTTAGAAGACAGAGATGCAAACACACAACTCAAATATCAAATGCAGCATTACCTTCTCAACATAGGTTCGGACCATGTTTTCAATTTCTTGGACTATACTCTCTGGCTGCCCATCTGCAGTACACAGGTTGGTTTTGTGCTGGGGTTATCTTATTAAAGAACAAAAAAGTAATCACATCAGAAAAGAGAAAGATGAACTAAAGCACTCACCAACAGCCACCTTTGTCAAACCAGGCAAATCAACGAGTGTCAAGTTGACCACTGTCAATGTAGTATGAGCATGTTGAATGGTCATTAAACAAGAAAGACTGAAACTTAATCAAGAAAAATACCATAGTAAATGCAAAGAATGAGTGAAATACCATTGGGTGAATAAATACTGAGGTGAATAGGAACAGGAGAAATCTGTTTTGTTTTCCCAGTAAGTCTATCAGTCTCATCCTCAATTTCTTTTCGCACTAGAGCTGCACAAGAAAATTCAAAACATTAAGAATTTCACACTATAAGACTCCATAAAAAAATGCCAAACATGCAATATTTTGTCGATAATAATAGATCATCCATATACAGAAATCAGTGAACCGTCTTCTTGGCAAATGGACAAACTCTGCATACTCCTCTAGCCCATCTCTGGGTTTCTGCAACTGCAACACCAAGGGTCGCCTAGTAACAATCCCTGCCAAAACCAAATATGAAACTTTAAACTATTAAGAGATATTATAGTGTATATTAGTACACACTTGGTCACTTAACTTTTTTGTCTATCAACATTGTTGGCCAAATATTCTACCATTTCTACCCTATACTGATTTAGTGGATTGAGCAAAAAATGTGCTGATAATGAAAAAAATCTATGCAGAGAATATAAGAAATTGCACAAAATAGGAGTAAAATGTGGACAAAGTTCTAAAATAGGACTAAATATGTTATCTTCCCAATTAGGACTTATTTCCTCCTATTAAAAGGTTCAAAACAAAAAATCATAAAAACTTGTGAAAATAGGAGTGAGTGAGTTCTGTTTTAAAAAGAAAAACAATGATGCTCCTATTTGAGAAAATGTGTCAGGGAGCATGTTATACTCCTATTTAGGTATTTCAACTTAAATGAAAGGAATGGAGGTGACTATCATAGCTTTGTTTTCAACTTTTCATGAAACAAATTCAATACTTTATCGAGAAAATCTAAACATACATTAGTTATTATCTTCTTCGGAATTGAGCAAATTATAAAATTTAATCACTTCAGTCACAATTCAAGCTGCAATTTCACCAAATTCGACTTCTAATCATATGCTATTGTTACTCCATATGACTCTGTTAGTTCTAGCTGCTCTAACTTAAGAACTCATATCCTGTATGAATTGCTTATTGCTCTAGTGAAACGGAGCCCAAAACTCACCGGACCCTCTGGGAAGAAAATCCCTTCCAACTATACTTTCCAGCACAGAAGATTTCCCAGAACTCTGAATTTATTTGAAACACATTCATCAAATTCGGGTAAAAACTAAAAACACTGCAAAAAGTTCCCGCCTGAACCAGTATTTGAGAATTGGGATGACTAACCTGACCGCCGACGACGGCGACGGTGGGAAGTTCATTATAGAGGGATGAAAAGGAGTCGCCGCCGCCGCCGTGATCTTCTAGGGCGGTACAAGCTCTCTGTATGCGGTTTACCAAACCTATCAAACTCTCCATGGTCGCCATGTCCCTTCCTCTCTCTACAGCTGAGGAAATTCAGCTCAGGGGTTTTTTGTGGAAAAGTAAATGATGAATTCAGCTTCTGAATTAAGCAATGAAAATGAGAGCTGAGAGATTATTCTAGTGGACTTGGAATCAGCACCGAAAAGACGACAATGGACCAAAGGAGTTTGCTACGGAGTAGTTATGAACAGAATACATATCCACAGTCCACGTGTATTTTCTTACGGACTACTTCCATTATACGAACAGCAATGCACGTGAGCTCTTTGATCATAAAAATGATAAAATGTATTTCCAAAATAGAGTATCATTATTAAGTCATTTTCTTTCTCACCAATCTCAACAAAAATTATGATTATACTCATAAAAAAGAGATGTTAAGTCAAATGACCACACACTAAAATGATAATCTCCGCCTATATAGGGAAAGTTCCCGAAATGGGACTAAAAAGTTCGAAAATTCCAAAATATGACTGTCATGTTTTTATTCCCAAAATAGGACTAATTACTGCCAAATTTGGAAAATACTGCCATATTTGAAGTCTGGTACTGCCAAAACATGACAGTAATTAGTCCTATTTTAGGAATAAAAACATGGAAGTCCTATTTTGGAATTTTCAAACTTTTTTTAGTCCCATTTTGGGTAATATCTCGCATATATAAAATATATGAACCAGGGGCGGCGGAACCATGATTTCAGGCGATTTTTTTCGTTATTATAGGGGTAAAACAAAATTCGTTAGTGTAGCGGGGCATTTTTTCCCGCTTGTATAGCGGGGTGAATTTTGCCCTCTAGTTTTTTTTTTGAGAAGTCCAGTTCATTAGAAAAGACCTTTAAAAAAATCGTTTCCCCTGCATAACCCTGCGCACGTTCCTCTCTCGCATTACCCTTCAAAGGAATCTGCAGGTATTTCTCTTCTTTTCTCCTCATCTATGAAGCACGGATACTTCCCTAGGGTAGCGTATCAGCGTATCCGATACGTTCCCGTATCCGATACTCTATGATACCCGTACCGTACGTTCCCGGGCCGTATCTGCAATTTTTAAAAGTTTCCATTTTTTTTGTAACTTTTTGAAAGTTTCCGATACTCGTATCCTGACGGATACCCGTATCAACTTTTTTTAAAAAACAAATCCCAAAATTTACTTAATAAAATTCTAAAAAAATGAAAATCTAAAACTACATTTTACTTGGTAATCAAATAATGGGCCTATATGGCTATATCCGAATTAAGTCATTAACTCATACTCCGAATTGGGTACTTGCACTTTTAATTTCAAGATTGTAGTTGTTAGACTTATTTCTCATTTTAAATTAATGACTTATTGAGTACATTTATATTTCGAGATACACTAGTGTATATGAGAAATATTCTGAATTTATTACTAAGTATCTTGAAAAAGGAAAATGCTTCAATGCAATGAATGGGTAAACATCATAGGATATTAGATGTATATATATATGTGTGTATATATATATATATATATATATATATATATATATTCAAAAAAATCTATTTTTATATTTATAAATAGACCCCTATAACTTTTAATATTTGTAAATACACCCCCATAACTTTTAATATTTATAAATATGGCCCCGTATCCGTATCCTACTTTTTTTGGTTTTGACGTATCCCCGTACCCGTTTCCGCGTTTCCGCGTTTCCGCGTACCGGTATCGGTGCTGATGGATTGTCTACCCGGGGGGTATCTTATCCGAGGGGTTATTACGGGAATAACTTAGAGAGAAGTCAGAGCAAATAGGAGGAGAGAGAGTCGATTTTATTAAATGAACTCGAGATGTGGAGTTGAGATGCAGATGATGATGTCCCTTACAAGGAGAAATGGGCTGCTATTTATAGCAGCAATAAATGCGATGAGAGGACACGTGTCAGTAATCCAACGGCCGAAGGGTCACATCAGCCTGGTGGCACCGGCAGTGGTACGTCAACCGCATTGAATGCGGTTGGTGGATGCGACGTGGCATTAAATGCGGTGGTTGGCTGTCTCTAAAAGGAATCTTCGATGATTGAGCTTGTTCAGCCGGAGGCACCTTGTGTAGCCGAGGGCTCCTTGTGTAGCCGAAGGCTCCTTGCGTAGCCGAGGGCTTCTTGTGTAGCCGAAGGCTTCTTGTGTAGCCGGGGGCTCCTTGTGTAGCCGAGGGCTTCCCCTGGCGCCGAGGGCATGAGAATGCCGAAGGCTCATGTCTTTGCCCATTTTCTTCCAGTAGCTTCTTATGCCAGAGAAGGCTATCCTGTGAGTTTTGGAGCTTTCGGCCAAGGAGGCCGAAGGCATCCCAGTGTGTATTCTGGGCTGCTTTGAGGCTTGGGCCGCGGTATTTGGGCCTGAGTTGTTTCCTGAGCTCAATGGACTTGTGTAGGAGAAGTGGGAGTCTACGGGCCGGGGGTTCCTGGGCCATATACTCCATCAGGAGTCCCTCACTCTTTTTGCCAAAAGGTACTTGAGGGAAAAGGAGTAGATGTGCTGCTTCTTCTGGTGCCTTTGCTGGAGAACCTTGTCTACTGCTGATTGCCGAAGGCTTCCCTCAGTCCCTCACATGTCGAGGGTTTTCTGGGGGAAGCACAGATGTATTGCCTGCATGTGTTGTGACGAAGGTTGCTTCATTGTCACAAGTGACTTGGGAAAAATTTTGATATTCTACCTCTGCCGAAGGGGGTGTTGAAGTATGTACCCGAGGGGTGTATCCCAGTCCCCCACTCCTTTGGGCCGAAGGCTAGTTCGGGCTGAAGGAGTTATGATGTGTTGATACAAACCCGAGGGGGGACGATATTGTCAAGCTGGGGGCCCATGTTGCCGCAGACTCGAAGGTGTTTGGTGGAATCCGTTGTCTGAGGGCTGCGGCGAGTGGTAGCCGGAGGCTATCATTCGAGGGCACCCCAGTATTGCCGAAATATAGTCGTTGTAATATAGCCGTTGGAAGAGGGGTTGACGTGGCGTGTCCTCGTTGGTCGAAGGGGGGCGGGAGTCGCTCATTGGCCGAAACCGCGGCTTGTAATGATGGGCTTTCAAATCGAGGCCCATATATCGAGGCCCAGTTGCCTATAAATACCCTGAGCCTGAGCTCATTTGTGCTTGCGCGATTTTGAGAGATAGCGAAGCTCTGGCAATTTGATTCTAGAGAGAGAAAGTTTCCCTCGGTCAACACAAGCTTCCTGAGGTCAGTTCCTCCTCTGTTGCTTTCTTCCTTAACACACTTTGCTACTCCTCGCTTTGACCCAGCGTTAGCGATTTTTAGGGCTTTCGGCTAAGATTGAATAGCCTCCTCTTTTAGAACCCTCCCCCCCTCTTAGTATCAGAATGTCCTCCGGTAGCGACTCCCAAAATATCTCAAAGGAGCCATCCTTGGGACCCGAAAGCTACTCCGAAGTGGAGTCTTCGACCGAGCAGTCGTCGGCCGGCAACGATGCAGTCGTTGCTGAGGAGATCCAGGGAGCCCTCCGGACAGAGATGGAGGCAGAAGAGTTCGAGCAGGTGGTAGAAGACGAGGAGATGGCCCTCGCGCTCCAAGTCGCCGAGGAGGAGGAGGAAAAAGAAAGGCAGCAAGTGACTGTCGCTGTCCTGCCCCCACGTGGTACTGGGGAGGCTAGCAGCTCCCGGCCGCTGAATCCGGAGCCTCTGAGGGTGGCTCCGGGTAAGAAGAAGAGGAAGCTGAGGGCGGTCCCAAAGAAAAAGCAGGCCGCTGTCGACGCTGGGCGACCAGTTGGGATACCCGAGGGGCATTCTTATTTGAACACTGCCGCGCTTGAAGTGACAACAAAAGCCGGGGAGGCCGAGTATCTTAAGACTCAGCTTCTAGTTGGTCCGTCGGCACAAGTGGTAGAGCCGGGTCCGAACGACGTGTTACTGCATCCCCCGGAAGGTTGTTTTGCTGTGCACATCCTTTCGGTGGAGTTAGGGCTCCGGTTTCCCCTCCACCCGTTTGTCATGGAGTATCTCCGCTTCGTGAAACTTGCCCCCTGCCAGCTGACGCCGAATAGTCACTCCTATTTGTCGGGGTTCCTCTCCTTATGCCGGAGCCGAGGGGTGAAACCAACGTTAGATCAGTTCTTCCTATCTTTCAACCTATGCCGAGGGGGACATTCACATGCTGGGGGCTTCGCCAACCTCCAACAGGTTCCGGAGTGGAGATTATTCTCGGAGGTTCCTTCCTCCCACAAGAATTGGAAAGATCGCTTCTGCTTTATAAGGATGGCGGAGAACCCTTTCCCCGCTCCCCTTCGGGACCACTTTCAAAGGCACCCGAAGGTGGGGAATGCAGCCCTTGATAAAGAGGGAAAGAAGTTGATAGCTAAGCCGGAGGGGTCCGATAAGGTGACGAAGATAAAAGACGCCATCCTTCCGGACGAGTTATATCGGCTTGACTTTAGGCGTTATCGCTTAATCGGAGAGAAGGATGAGAGATATCCTCCCATCGACCGGGGCTATGAAAGCGCCGGAGGTTGTTGCCGAAGGCCCTTTTGCTTTGGTACTTAGCATTTTTTTTTTCTTGTCGTATCCTGACACTCGTGTGTTATTGCAGGCCAAATTATGGACGTCAGATCCTTCGCCCATCTGAAGAAGAAGCTAACTAAGGTGCCCTCGAAGAAGAAGGAGACGGGCGTTCAAAAACCCGTCGACGGTTTTTTTCAAGAAGGATGGGGCCGCTCAAGTCCCGGAGGGTGAGGGACCCTCCCAGAATGCTGTTGCGGGCACCGACGCCGAGGAGCTGAAGAAGAAGAGAGCCGGGAAGGGCACGGTGCTCCCCGAAGGGAAGAAGCAAAGGAAGGGGGCCACCGAGGAGAAAAACGCCCCCGTCGTCATTGTCGAAGAACACTCCTCCTCCGAGGCCCCGGGTCAAACAGCTGAGATGTCGTGGCCCCGGGAGAATGTGCAGTTCTCCATTCCCAAGGGAACCGCCATTATGCACGGCACCCTCAGCCCGAGGGAGTTCCTAAAGGGTGCCATGCCCCCGACTGACAAGTCGGTGCTTTCGAGGGCCAAGGATGACGCCCTCAGCGCAAAGGTTCTCCAAGCTTCTGTCACGGTAAGTCTTTTTTTTTTCCTTTTCCTTGAGTTGTTTGGGCTTAGCAGGTCCTTACCTTGATAACTTAGCCCTCGTTATATGATTGTCTTGGTTTGTAGGCTGCCTTCGGTCTCGGAGAACTGATGCAGAGGATGGAGCGATACCAGCTGCAGAAGCTGCAAGCCGATGAG